TGTTGGGGGCAGAAGCAATAAAAACAATAAAACAAACATGCTATTGAAGTTCAATGAATTTCAAATGAATATTGCAATGTGATCGCTTAGTTTTTGTTGATTTATAAGAATACCGGAAATCTAGGTATCAAAAACTTTATGATTCGTGTATGAATACATAAAATTTGGACTCATTGATTTTAAATATCAAATAACAAGAATTTAAGAAATTGGGAAACTTTTTAACAATTTATATTTTATTTCAATTCAAGAACGATCTACTGGCTATAACCCTGATTTCTCTTGAGAAATAAGATTTCTTACTCAATTATTGTTTTGCATTTTACAATAGGAAAATTGGATGCTGAAAACATAGTGAACGTGAAGATAAGTAATAGGTGTAGAATGAAATTGATCGATGAAGTTTTCTACAGCTTAGATGACAAGCATCATAACCTATTCACTAATTCCTGCTTTGGACATTTGTTAAGTTTGAGAAACATAACACTTGAATCCCAATTAGTCCACCAATTTATTCTGAGGTCGATAAGTACCTCAAAAGAAAATGATGTATGGATTAAGGTTGGAGACAAGCTCACAAGATTTGGATTGCAAGAATTCACACTGGTGACTGGGCTTACAACTAGGGATTTGGAGAACGAGGACACGATGCTAGGGCAAAATTGTGGACTCGTGAAAGAGCGTTTTAAGCGTAGCAATGGTAAAATAAAGAGAGGTTTATTGTTAGATGTTTTCAAATGTTGCAAGCATAAGAATGATAAATATAAGTTGGGCCTCCTCGTCATATTGGTGTACGTGCTTTTGGCAGCAAAAGAGAATACATTTGTTGACCCATGGTTGTTTTATATGGTGAATTATCTTGATAGATTTAACAACTACTCGTGGGGGAAAAGTTATACGAGGACACTATTAGGGTGTTTAAATGTAATTTCGGAGACATGTTGAAGAGTTATACATCTTTTCAGCGATATTTGTATTCTCTGCATGGATTTCCCCTTGCAATCATGGTATTATGTTCTAAAATTATTTAAACACTACATTTTTTAATTATGTTACTGAAAATTAAATTTATGATTGTACATATTTGTGGATTGAAGCAATTCCCAGTGTTGGAAAGAAATTCGATCGTGTAATAGATGATTCCAGAATTCCCAGAATGATAGGCTGGGAAATGTGCAAGCAACTTAGGGGGGGGGGGATATACTTTGCACATTTTTTGAATCGTCAAATGTGAGTTTTCTTTATCAAAATGTAAATGACGTATCGATAACTTTTACAAAATAATTTGCTGAATAATTATACATTCTTGTTTTTCAGATAGAGGTACATTGTACGCTAAATCCTACAGACGATGAATTGCTGGAGCAGTTCTAGAAGGAATCCAGACCTTTTGATGATGAAACTGATCCAAAGCTGGATAATGTTGCCTCTAAGGATGAAGGCAAAAAATAAAAATCTGAGAATAACGATGCATAATCAAGTTTCGCTCGCCCACAATGTCCTAAGACATCGGATCGACCATCTGTGTCTAGCCATCTACATTCATCTAAAACAGCTTGACGACCCCTACCTTCTTATGACTATATCGCTCATATAATAAAACAAGAAATAAGAGGAGTTGAAGAGAGGCTCAGAGGTGAGATGTCAGAGCGCTTCGATCGAGTAGAAAAGAATGCTCTCATGAAAAAGTCACATCAAATAAGCAACACAAAGCAAATGCAGATTACGATGGTATATTCTCTTTTGTACTTTTTGCAATAAGCTACAAATAATTTTTATGTTTGGTTCCATTTGTAGGATTCGTGCCAGATCCTTCATCTGCTATAGTTGTGTACCAATAACAGCCTTTAGTCTGGATCGGAGAGACCTTTCGGATCGAGGAAGCTTGACAAGGTGAGGTAATAGAGAAGGTGGATGGGACGAAAGAGGATTCAAACATATCTAACAAAGGTAACAATAATTTACATTTCAATATTTCACTTTTTAATATTTTGTGTTAAAATGGATTGAATTGTGTTCCATCAACTTTTGTAGACGATTCTGGGGAGCCTTAAAGAGGAGAAAATTGTTGAACATTCAAGTATATAACCCTTCAAGAGAAGTAGATCCTGCAAAAGTTGAAGACCTCAACAAGTGGTTGGCAAATGCATCTACGAGGTAATTTATTTTATTCCAATGGTTGGCATAGTGAAGGACGTAATTTTGAATTTGCAAGTTAGCTTAGTTTGATATTATTATTGTCACAGTGATATAATATCCTTGGCTATTTATGAAGTGAGAAGGAAATTCTTTGATTAACTATTGAAAGATGACGGGTGGCTTATCGATGATGTAAATAATATTTGTATATTAGCATTATTATTTCTAAAATAATGCATTTAATTAATAATGTTTTGTCGTACAGCATATCGACTTGGCCTTATAGTATATTAGAGAAAGAGAAAGGGCAGTGACATATCCACATATATTTTAGCAAGATTATACTATATTGGGTTGTTATGTTTGACAACTTGTCAAAAAAGCCTACCTAAAAATGGGTGCACCTAAGAAGAAAAATGGTAACTACGTATTTGACCAAGAGCTCATCGATTACGTTGAAGGGGCTTCACTGGTGCTTGGTAAACACTGGAGTAATTGTAGATTTTTCTATATTCCTTACTGTGTACCGAGTTTCCATTGCTTTGCACCGTAAATTGATTTGACGGAGCAAACTATTTATATTTACGATAGTTTGCCAAAACACATCCGTCATGCTCAGCTGGCCGAATGCATGATACCTATTCAAGTGGTAATTCCCTGGTTGATAAAGGAACACATAGCGAGTGAAGAAAATTTCAGCACCAGCATGTTCCGTTATCAGAGGGTTATAGTTCCTAGACAAATACATGGGTAAACTTGGTTCAATCTAACATTTAACACCAATATCTATGACTTCTTTCGTCTATGTCATGTCTATCTAACTTTTTTCCCATTATTATTTTGCATGTTTGATAGTGAGCTTTTCACAGTGAAATACATTGAGTTCTTACAAGCTCAATTGAATATGGATTTGGTTCGTCCGGAATATATGTCTATTTGGAGGAAGAAATTAGCTGCAAAGACATTTGCATGACACTTTAATCCGTAGACTTAGTGAATGTTTTGATGTTATTTTTGTATTTATATCTTAGAGATTGATTTTGCAATCGTACATGTTTGCTTCAAGTTGAATGTTAATTGTAGTTATAATTTTTATGTCTTTCATTTAAATGTGCTTATGCATTTCTATGAGAACAGTAATTCGATCGTTATTTTGGTCAATTTTTGTTCATGAGAACGATGCTTATGCCATTAATGATATAAGAACGTCCATTAGAACAGAGTCGTTATATTAACAAATAAGTTCATGAGAACGACATTTATGTCGTTACTAATTTTGAAAATATTTACAGAACGGCACAAGTTACATTATAATGAAAAAAATTTCTTCTAGAGAATAGCAGAAGTGTCGTTACTGGTGTGAGAAAAGTCATTAAAATGGCATAACTGTCGTTATGTTAGTTTGTACATTGCCTACGAGAACACCACTTATGTCTCGCAACTGATATTGAAAAGATAGGGCGAACGACACAAGTGGTGTTGTAAACACACAAACTTGTTCATAAGAACGGCACAAGTGTCGTTACCGTCTATAGAACGACGCTTGTGCCATTATCAGATTGAGAATAAGCATTAAAATGCTTGTGTCGTTATGTTTAAATTTACAAGTCCACGAGAACCACAATTGTGCCATTAATGATATTGAAAATATATAGAGAACGACACAAGTGACGTTATAATGACATAAACTTATTAATGAGAACGACATAAGTGCCATTATTGTTCATATAATGACACTTGTGCCGTTATTGAGAAGAGAACGAGTATGAGCATCCACGAGCCTTTCGGATTCCGATATTCGATAAGTTGATCTCATCTAAGTCGCGAGATGGACATGCCGTTCATATGATTTGGGAGATACTCTTATTACTCTTGTTTTCTAACAAATGTGGATGGTGAGTTGTGATTTTAGCAACTCGACATCTACAATCTATGTCAATTCTATCGTTATTCATCATATAATCAATAATTCTGACTTTCTAAAGTTAGGATATCCGATCCTTGAGGTTGACGCGATGGAAATGAAGCGAAATATAGGAAAAGCCAACAGAATGACACATGTGCCGTTAAATGTCACTTTTGTCGTTCTATCGATAAACATGAGTATAAGCAGCCACGAGCCTTCCAAGCCCCGATATTCCATGAGTTGAACTCATTTAAGTTGCGAAATGGATATGCCGCTCACATAATTTGGAAGATACTCTCATTACTTTTGTTTTCTAACGAATGTGGATGATGCCTTGTGATTTCACCAACTCAAAATCTAACAATCTATGCCAATTCTACAGTTATTCGTCACGTAATCAATAATTCTGACTTTTCTAAGTTAGGATGTCCGATCCTTGAGGTTGACACAGTAAAATGAAGCGAAATATAGGAGAAATCAACAGAATAACACAGGTACAGTTAAACGTCACTTGTGTCGTTATATCGATAAACACGAGTATGAGCAGTCACGAGTCTTTTGGGCCCCGATATTCCATAAGTTGAGCTCATTTAAATCTGGACATGTCGTTCACATAATTTGGGAGATACTCTCATTACATGGACAACATAAAAAATGAGAACAACACTAGTGCTGCTACTATTATGGAAACAGCTCAAGTGTCGTTACTTGTATACTTAGAAATAAATTGTTATTAAATCAATAATATTTAATTTCTGAACATCATTTCTATATTTTCTAGGTAAAGTACTAAAAAGGGCACCAGTGATGTTTTTGTTAAAACAAAAAAAAATCTATCGTTATAGCTTCATTGATTCTAAGACAATGACAAAATAAATCATTCCAAATATTTTAAATAGTTTACATTTAGAAATGACGAAAGTAGTACATCATAACACCAACATCCTTTTCAATACTACAAAAGTACATCATAACGGTCAAAATTCAGCAGATGTGCCGTTTTATCTTCATCATTCATGTCTCTCACCAACTGGTACATGATCTGTACAAGTGATACGGTTATGTCCAGTTTTCAAACACCTACTACATTTATGAGACTTGTGCACCTCTTCGGCTGATTGTTTCTTTTTTCTTGGTGGACATCCACTTCCTCTTCGTGTCAACGGTCATATCACCATTCTTGATCGAACATTATCGAAAATTTCCCAATCCGCCTCATTTGGCAGTGGATATATATATTCAGAATAAGCTTGTTTCCCATAAGAAGAGCTATAAAATGGAAAGCAAAACCTGTAATAGTTATCTCCAATAGTTCTTACTACAGCAATTACATGTGCACATGAAAATTGGTCCAGATCAAATTCCTTACATGTGCATGTTCCCATCTCCAAATTAAGAATAAAACTTTTCATTTCATCACTCACTTGCATTTCATCTGGGCTAAGAGCTTTTACCTCTAAACCTTTTAACTTATTATATCTATCATACATCTTCTTCTCCAAAGGCGGGATAAGGTAGCTTGTATATTTTTCGACATCAATGCGCCTATCATGAAACCATCTCTGCATCCTTTCCCTGATATACTCAATCAAAGCAAGTATAGGAAATTCTCGAGCACTTCTCAACAATGAATTTAATGATTTTGCGTTGTTTGTGGTCATATTATTGTATCTGATTCCATTGAAATGTGCTCTTGACCATACTCCACGCTAACATCATCCTCTAAGTACCATTAGATTTTCCTGCGTAGACTGCACAATGCTTGCATATTAATCTCAAATTTTGTCAAACTATATGCCTCTGCGGTAGCTCTAAACAATGGCACAATATCTATGCGAGGAAATTTGCTCTTCAAGTTAGTTTGCAAATGCCATATACAATGTCCATGTTGTGCGTTAAGATAAACGCTATTGAAACCATTTGATATGCTGGTTGCACAGTTAGAAATAAAGTTTAGCTCGTCTGTGTTACCGATTATTTGTCGCAACTTCTGAAAGAACCAAGTCCATGAGTCATTGTTTTCTGAATCCATGATGCCCTACGCAAGGGGATAAATTTAACGATTTGCATCTTGGCATGTGGCAACAATTAATGTACCTTGATACTTAGATTTCAAAAATGTTCCATCCATACAAATTACCCATCGGATTGAAGAGAGGAATCCACGTATGCTTGGTCCTAATGCTATGAAAAATACATGAAATGTCCATCATTATCAGTTTCAATAAAGGTCAACGTGTCAAGATTATTTCTCTCCAAAACATGACAATACAATAGTAACTTTGCATAGCTATTATCAAGGCTACCTCGAACCTCTTTGTAAGCAAATTCTTTGGCCTAAAACGCCTTATGATGTTTTATAGTTATGCCAAACTCTCGACGAACGTCATTAATAATGTTTCTTGGTCTATACACTATGTTGACATCCTAATATTTTGGAGCTATTGTTTTCCAATTACCGAATAGGTAGCGTGTCTATTATCCCTGTGACGAACACTAATGGAGCAAATGTGATGGTCAGAAGATTTTCATATTTGAAAAATCTCAGATTCAGCTATGCTCATTGCCTGTAAACGCCAGTTACAACTTTCTTTAACACAAACGACTGTATGCACACTCTTATTTGATTTCTTCACTTTAAATTCAAATTGGTATTTCAGGGCAAGTAGCTGGAGTTTTGATATCAAAGCACTTTTAGTTGGAAATAGTTCACCATCATATACATCCTCATTTTTTGGAATCCTAATTGATGAACTCTAAGGAATTGAACACACGACTTGTGTTGAAGTACTAATAATGTTCTCTTCCATGGAGAAATCAACATTGTTTTCATCTCTCGGAGGAGATTTATCTTCGAAATCTTGTTGTTCGGAACTACCTTGAATTATATGCAAGTTATCTCAATCCACAAAGTTTCCTTCTACGTATCATTTTCATGATCGCCGTCATATTGCTCAACTTCATTTTGATTGCTCACATCTCCCTTTTCTACTTTACCATTAGTTTCTACTCTACAATCTCTTTCAAACTTGCTTACACTATCACATTCACCTGCAACTTTTGTTGAAATAGTCACGCAAAGAGGATTTTTTTAACAAATAGAAAGAAACCACTTCACTTTCATGTCACTGTTAATCCTTTGTGGTGGAATTGAAAACTTAGACATTCCGGGATTAAGAGACATCATCTCAATTTCATATAACTTTGAATCCACATTAACAAGTTATTGCACTTTGTTGTACAACTCTATATACGAAATGCTAGTTGGAACATAAAGAATATCCGCATTTTCTTCACCGTTTCCTATATAATCCCATATCCATTTGCCTTCTTCAGTCTTTTTAAAATCGACAAAATAGCATACATGTACCCATATCATTTCTACAAAATCTTTAGCTGTAAATAAAATAAAAAGTTAAATAATTTATTCAAGTATATATCAAAGTAATATGAAAATAGTTACCATATTTAAATTATCAAAGTAACCATAATATATTATCAATAACGGACATATCATAACAGATAACGATTGTACTGTCATTTTACATGGAGGATAACGACTGTAATGTCGTTCTCCACTACAGATAACGATTGGAGTGTCGTTATTGTCCAATAGTTGCGAACAGTACAAATATACACCAAATGCGAAAATAAAATCAACTAAAATATTATTTTATACTATATTCAACAATAAAAGTACCAATATAAATGAGATTTCTAAAAATACCTGTATTATTTCTTTAGATATAGTAGAGACTTCAATGTAGATAATATAGATATTAGATACCAAAATTCTTGTTTAAATGCTCAAAATATTGGAGAAGATAGATGAAGAATACAATGAATAACAAGATTTTAGGGAAGCAACCACCAGGAAAGCACATCGGTGTTTTTGTAGATGAATTGAGGGATTTAATTGTATTGAAAGGGGTATTTGGGTATTTTCCATGGTGAGGGTATTTTAGATATTTGATTTAATTTTTTTTGAAAGTGAAGGCTGTTTGACTAAAAAACATTGAAGGAATGTTATTTTACCAATAACATTGTTTAACTAGGCTTTTTTTATCAAATCCCCCCCCCCCCCCCGAAAAAGAGAGAGAGAGAGTGAGAGAGAAAGAGAGAAAGAAAGAAAAGAAAAGAAAGAAGAAAAGAAAAAAAGGAAGGAAGAACTGAAGAAGGAGGAAGTAAGTGTCAATTTCTTCATGCTTGGTATTTATTTACTTTATATCTTTAAAAATTAAGAAGTAAGTGTTTTATGATATTATGATGTTAATTTTTTAGGGTTCAATTTGTGGGTTTAATTTTTAGATTTATTGGAGGATTATAATTTCTTGCTTAAATTGCTTGATTGATTAATTTTTAGTTGAATCAAAGTAAGTAATACCGATTTTGGGCAAATCCTAGAATTTTTGTTTGGGATTCTTGATTAAATATAGTTTGTGAAAATTATTGTGGTGATGAAATACTCAAATAAAAGAAGGATTATGGAGCAAATGGAAGTTAGGTTGGTTGAGTTGTTGGCGTAGTTCTCACTAGATCGAATGATAATTATTTTTATGCTTGGAACGAATGTTATTTTGGTGAATTACTTATTAGTAAATGTTATTTATATTCATTATACCTGACAGTTTCTTATCTAGAATAAAGAATAAAGAATTTTACGATGCAATTATGTTGCTATTTTAAAAAGTGTTATCGGATTTCAAAATTTCTCAACCTTTTAATAGAGTGAGAATTTTGAGATAATATGTATAAACGGAAACATATATTTATGTGCAAACTATTCACTCACTGAGCTACAAGCTTAGCTCATATTTTGTTACCCCTTTTCTTATCAGATAGTGGCTGAATTGAGCAATATTGGAGCCTGTTGATCACAAGTTGAGCCACACATTGTCATCAGTTGTATAACTCATTTTGTTAGTTTAGACAGTTCATATTTTTAGGATACATGCATTTTTGTCATAAAATGTATTCATATCATGGGCTCATTGCATATTTGACATCTTTTAAATATGTTGGAAATTTAAAGTCTTTTTTAAGAAGTGTAAATTTTATTCATGGGTGCTCTATTTTGTATTTGAAGGGGCTGATGTACTCTATTTTATTATATTTCAGGTGGTTTTAGTCCATATTTTAGAAAAAACTCTGTCAAAATCTTTATAAAAATATGTCAACAGTTAAAGTAGGTCAAAGTTGCATTGGTAGTGGATCCAGCACTTAGCTGATATTTATCGACACAGGACACGTTTCAGGTTCATTAAGATGATTCGATACAGGTCGTGTCAATCTAGACAAGCTAAAGAACGTTAATATGTCGATACCGAGTTTTTCAATTCCACCAATGTGAAAAAAATTTGAGAATGGCATCAAAGTTGAGCAATGAAAACAAAGGAATTGATGATTCAATAGGTTGTCAAGATTCAAGACATAAATGTAGAGTGAGCAGTGAAAGCTGAGCTTTGCATGTTCCCTGAGTCTTCTAAATACTGAAAAATCTGTTATCAAGCTTTCAAAAATAAACAAACGGTAAACAAAGTTTTCCAGCCCCTGCTAATTCATTCACAGCATTAGAAAGTTCTTTTCAGTACTATTCCTCCGAAGTTTTTCGACGCAACATCCTCATTATAACCAAACTTTCATTTGTTGTAATAAATCTTTACTGTAAAAAAGTTCTACATCATTTCTCTAAAAAACGATAATCATAAATAACATTCTAGTTCCTCCCGCGTTAATTATTATAATATTCTCATACAATTTGGATGGCTAGACTACCAACTTTTAGCATCTGTTTGGGAGTAATTATTAAGCAATTTCAATCAATTTTTGCTTCTTCTTCCTTTTTTTTTTGTTCCCTTACTGTTGGCATCTGACAACTCTGATACACAATATTGTAACCATATTTGTATTTAGAGTTAATCTAAGTTGGCAGAAAATACATGATAGAAATATTTATCTACACTAACAATTAAAAACTCCAAAAAAAAGGGGGGAGTCGTAGGCTCCTATTGTGAGCGTTCGGTCAGGTTGCATGTTCAATCCGCGTAACTTGATGGTTGTATTTATTTTACATTGTTTAGTTTGCCCTCCAAGAATAGTCAAATATGACTGCTGAGGAAATGTGTATATGTAATTCTAACATTTAACAGGAGATATGGACAATTTTATTTGTTCTTGTCTTTTTTATAAAATAAATGAAGTCAAAAGTTGCAGAAAAATGGGACCCATTTATCAAATACCAACGGCCAAAATAACTATTAAAATCTTCAAAGAATTGCTCCCAAATAGGCGCCTAATATTAAATCCAATGTATAGCTGAGAATAAATTTATTAACATAAAAAGTATAAAACCAAACTTGATTAGTGATAGATTATCTAGTACTATCAAATCCTTTGCCAAACATGCCATTTGGAATAAAGAATTTTCTCTTTAAGAGAGAGAGGATTCAGTGATGGATTGTCCAATATTATCAAATGTTTGGCCATTTGGAATAATGAAGTTTTACAGTAAAAAAAGATTGATGATAGATTGTACAATACTACCAAATCCTCCTACCAGACATGCTAGTTGGTGTAAAAATGTTTCGAGCGGGGAAGGGGGTTTGTAGCATCTCTTTGCACACATTATTCAGATAAATACATTCCAACTCAATGTCTCCATTTTCATAAATGCCTCCCATAGTTTCACAAAAGACTACAAAATATTCATTAATGAAATCACAGAATCTTGACCTAAGAAAAACAAAAGAGGAACAAGACAGAACCACAAAAGAAGTTGAAAACTATAAAGCATTGATCATCCTTTTCATCTCAGCAGACCTCCTAGGATCTGCTTCTGCAGTGGCTCTCTCCGTGAGAACTTGCTTAATTCGACACATTGACTTCCTTACCTGTTCAATCATCACCAATACCCAAATCATAAAACACGACAACACGAGTCAAAAGAATTAAATTCCATATCATAAAGGCAACAATATGAGAAATCTCAATACGAGGAAGTCAAATGTCCTTTTTCACTTGCATTCTCAAACCTAACAGTTGTGCTAAAATTGTTCAACAAATCTACAAGACACGCAGTTGGGTGTTCAATTGAAGTATTATAGAAGAAATTTTATTTTCCCAAAAATATATTAAATTGGTACTTCAAGTCTAAATTAACAAAGTTCAAAGAAAGTAGTTGGATCTTTCCAATTATGGCCAAGGAATAACACCAAAAGTACTCATTTGCATAAAGCGATTTGACCAGGCAAACGCGTGTAGGAGAGGGCAATGTTTGCTTTCTACATCCTGAGAATTAACACTATAAAATTATTTCAAAAATCTTGGACGAGAGACAAAGCTACACCTTGGGAATACGCTCTGGATTGAGAAAGCGTAGGTTTTGAGCGTGAAGCATCTGACACTGTGTCATCAACATGTTCTCCTCCTTCAAGAGAACATACCAAAGCTTGTTAAGGTCATCCCAAGACTTGAGACGTAGTTCTGGAGCCTTCCAACTCCGACCTGAATATATTTATAAAATTCATTCTATAATTGATTTATGTCTACAAAAAAGACTCACGAAGTAAAACGACCTATTGAAGAATGGTGCTCTCGGTGATCAAGATCGATAAAATACACAGAGAGAACAAAAGTTATGTTAAAACATCTTACATGAAAGAGGGAGTAATTATACCTCATGCACACATATAAATGGTCTTTGTAATCCTTAAAAAGAATTGAGCTAAAATACCTTTAATTTTCAACCATACAACAGAGGCGACCAACCACGTGAATTTCACAAAATAAGAGCAGATAAAAATTCTTCAACAAATATTAATTAACTAGTCTGCATTGGTTGAGCATCATATCATGACTCATGAATACGGTGACATTCCGAAACTAAGAAAGCAATCAATTTTATCAGAAAGGGCTCAGCTCATGAGGAATCTATGCAACGTTAACTCTTGTAACTAAGAAATGGCAGCACTCATGATTGTAAAAGTAAAGATACACACACTATCCACCCAAAACTGAATGGTGCAAAGCACTTAGCACTCCAGTTATAGAGGTCATAAACATTGGCTGAATGGTTTCTTATCTTTCATGAAATTAAGTTTGACAACTTAAACAAGCATATGGAAAAGAGGAATCTCCGCAGGTGCAGACCAAATACCTCAGAAGCAAGTCTGGTGCTTACCAATCAAAAAGAAAAAAAAAAAAAAAAGTTTGTCGGGTGCTTGCTATTGCACCAGGTTCATAACAAGACATTACTTTAAACCCTGAATTTCAATCTGTAATAATCATATCTTGCAAATGTGATCCCTTTTTTTAAAAAAAAAATTCTACATTATCCATACAGCCATAAAATATAACTTTCACCTTTGACAAAATGTCAGGTTAGTCACGATTCACGAATTTCACCCAAAGGCTTCCAATCCAGGCAAGCTGTAGGACCAATACCTATGCAAGAGAAATCGTCTAACTTGGATATCGGTTGCTTCCCAAAATTTGTGCACATCATAAATTTCAGACATTTATCACCCAATAATAAATTTCAAATTGTTTGGAATGCATTTTGCATGTAATCAGTTAATTTATATTCTCCAGACCAATAACAATGGTACCGACTTTGTTAAGCAACAAAACACCTTGACAATAGTGCCCCTACTTTCAACATCTACAACTCATATAACAAGAGACAGTACAGACACTATTTTACTTCACGTGCAATGGAAAAATGAGAAATTAACAGTCACGTGAAGCACATAGAAGCTTAATATACGGGATCACGAGGAACATGAAGCAAAAAACAAAATATGGATAAGATTTCTCAACCCTACAACTACGTTGTCTATTTAGAAGAGCAATAACTGAAAACATGAAATCATATGCACTCGAACATCTGCAAGCTATTGTCTTTTAAAATGGAGATCTTGAGATTACCATTTTTTTTCATTATAACAACAGTCATGTCAAACTGGAAAAGAAATCTTTCTTTTATCCAACTCGATCTCCATCTGAAGATCAGATTGTACAAGTGTCAGACGTCACTCAATACTAATTTAGCAGTGAACGAGATGATATAATGAACATAAGGGACAAGAAAATATCATAGAAATGTTAACAGATGATAGCCTTAAATTGTAACCATAGCTCAGCCTTCTCGTTCCTGAGTTTTTCTCCTGATCTAATTAAGTAAAAAATGAATCCACGTGCATTGTAGGCAATAAAAATAAATAGAAATTAAATTTTAATTTTTAACATCAAGTAAACCAATTGCCACCTGATTTGATCTTTAAGTACTAATCAAAAGTCTGTTTTCAGCTAAACTGTGTTTGCTGAGACGTCAGCACCTCCACATTCTATTAGTTGGACATTTCCTGATCATTGTAGCACGAATTTAGTGCACTGGAACTTAATGCGTAGTTAAAGGGAATTCAATGGCAATTTTCAATTTTTCTTGGATATTCACACCATACCCCATTTTCAATCTTTCTTGGATATTCACACCCTTCAACATTTCATTTTTTCAATAGAATATGCATTGGACATTTCCTGATCATTGTAGCACGAATTTAGTGCACTGGAACTTAATGCGTAGTTAAAGGGAATTCAATGGCAATTTTCAATTTTTCTTGGATATTCACACCATACCCCATTTTCAATCTTTCTTGGATATTCACACCCTTCAACATTTCATTTTTTCAATAGAATATGCAGGAATATAAGAAAATTTCAAAAGACGTCTAACTAAATTCATTACCCCAAATATAAACTTTGCCAATAATCTAAAGTTCTTTCCTTTTAATTCAACATGAATACCTATGAAAATGGCCATCTTACAAAATTTGGGTAGCAATAGAAAAAGAAAAATCAAACAACATCTATACCCCAGTCGGATTAAGAAATTAACCCTTATAAAGTAATTGAAAGGAAAGAAAATTCACCATAAACAACAGGCTTTTCATCATCTGGGCTTCTAGTAGTATCAAAGAACTCCTCAAGTGGGTTGTGCTTAGATGCAGTAGAGAAGGAGGCGGCGGCGGCCCCAGCAGCTGAAGCTTCTGATCTGGCCGCAGCAAAAAGTGTCCTTCCAAACACCCTTGTGAGAAACATTCTTTCAAAGAATTGATATTTTCTGCCAAAAAAAAAAAAATCAGTAAAATGAACATGAACTTGGAGAAGTTTGAAAGCAAAATCATGAACCCATTTCGTTCTTTGCGCATAACTAGTAAATTTAATTATTTGAAGAAAGAAAACAAGTAAATCCTCTTGAATATTTTTGCAGAGACCATCACATACAGACTCAATTGAAAATAGAAACTTGCCTGTGGAAGATTAATGGCTGTGCTCAGCAGTGGCGGCTGCGCAGGTAAGAAGGGGAGAGAGCGACGAGGATGGTGTTGCCGTGCTGGCTGTTGATACTGGTGGTAATATTAGGATTTATTTTTATTTTTTATTTTAATTGGTAACGTTTGTTTAATTTTTAATTTAACACTCCATATTTTAAAATTCATTTTCCATCGAGTTCATTTTATTCATTGTTTGAGCCTCATTTTGATAAGAAAATATATTTTTTGAATAAGATTTTTTGAAAAATATGTAATTAAAAAATGAAAAGTTTATGAATGAACGTGTGATCGAAAATAAATTTAAAAAAATTGAGTATCAAATACAGGCTTAACTATATATCTTCTCACTAAAATAATTTTACAATAGCACACATAAAATTTTCCAACTTTTTTATTCATGCGTTATCTAAAAAATATTTTTCGCAAAATTTAATTAAAAAAATCTCTACCATATAAAGACTTGTTAAAGTAGAAAATAAAAGGAATTTTTTGCGATCTTGACCCCAATCCCAATCAACCTTGGTTTAAGGTGTAAATCATCCTCTCTCTTTTTCATTCGAACCTTGGTTTAAGCCTTAAGGTGTAACTCATCCTTTTACTACAATAAAACTTCGGTAAATTAATAATCTCGTTAACATAATAAAATTCTTGGTTCCTGACTTAAGCCAATATACTAGATTAACAACCCCGCTAAATGCATCAGATAACTATTTAAATTCATAAAAGTTCATGTTAATACAAGTTAACAAATTTTTAATTTAACGTTATTATTTTAGTTCTTTTTTTTTTTTTTCCAAAATATGCATCTAAAGTCTTTTACTTTCTTTACATGGATATTAATGTTCCCTCTTTAATGTTGAAAAAAATATAGGGAAATTTGAAAAGTTAATGAATTTCAAGGCACGAAAAAACTTTATCTTTTAAGAGATGTTTCTTCCCTATTCAACAAAGTCACAACTGGGGTATAATAGAAAATCTCTCTCAAGATACAATGGAGACGTTTGATTCAAATTGTGACTATTTGATCAAACCAAGAAAACACTCGAAAAGAACTGATTGATGCCAAGAGGAAGAAAGAAGAATATTTTTTTAATGTGTTTTGCAAACGAAAATTCGTCCAGAATTTATAGAAATTGAGGCAACCGTTTGAATAGGAGTGTCCCTTGAAATCTTTGTGTACATCTGTTGGAAGTGACTGTTAAAAACGAACAGATGTACCTATTCAAAGACTTTTGAAAATAAAATTCTCTTTCGGGCAGATCGATCCCCATTGCATAGCGGCAAATACTAGTCCGAGCGACAAATCATTCGCAAAACAAAAAATAAATACATGTAACATGATGAAAAATATCTAACATTTAATGTATGTATGTGTGTTCCTTTTTGTATTCTTAACAGATTAAATTTTAAATTTCACCACATTCAATATTTTAAAAAAAAAAAAAAATCCTACATGTATTATGATAATATATAATACAAGTTTTAAAAATCCAAAATACTCTATAAATTAATAAATATTCATTTATCAGTAAATTAATAACCCTTCTAAAATAATAATTTTTCTCGATCTCAACATTATTATTTTATAGAGGTTTTACTGTAATTTATAAATATAGAAGAAGTGAAGTCCCAATTTTCATTTAAATACGAACACAGCCCTTGTTGATCAATTCAACATCCACTGTCGTACCCTATTATATGCACGTGAAATTTAAATCGTGACATTTCAGTAAAAAAAATAATGTGGTAATATAAAATACAATAGAGACAATATTGAATTAAAATCAATACTAAAACAATCTCATTTTCTTCCTTGAGACCGTACATGTATATGTGTATAAATTATGTTGTAATAAAATATTATAATGGAGTTAATGGATTTATTTTAACGGCAGCATTGTAACTTCTAATTAAAAGTATTCAAATAGGCAAATCATTTAACAATATGAAAGAAATAAAAGTAATACACCAATTTCATTCCAAGAAATTTCATTTTTTTCATTATTTTAGTGGATGTAAATTAAGAAGACATATATAGTGCCTATTTGAATCACTTTAAATTCAAATTTTTAATGAGAATTCACATTTTTCAACTGTAACTTGTGCATTTAAAAATTTTGGTGACACTGTATATTTGTCAAATGAGAGATTTTTGACAAATGCCGTTTAAAATTGAATGGGCCATTACATTACCATGATAGTTGTTGTAATTGTCCCTCGGGGCATATTCCAGTAGTGCAAAGGATAGGAGCGAGGTAATCTCAGTCTTGTTGGCAACCGCAGTGTGAGGGTTCGATTCCTGAAATATGGAATTAGACTCTTTGTGGACACCAATGTATATGCAAGCTCTTGCTCCCTAGCCTGTTGGGACACATTTCACGATTTACCTCCCTCATGATATTTCAGGTACAAGGTGGTGAGAGCCGGTTCAACATTTTTTTTTTGTTGTTGTTGTAATTGAAGTATGCCAAGGTACGGACCTATCATTTAGACTGCAAAAGCCTTATCAATGCCATCAGTCAATGCGAGCTCACAGTTGAAGGAAATGAAAACTCATTATCTTGCAATTCAGTGAGTCTCAAATAGGAGCATAATTAATAGAAAAAAAAGTCTTACATATATATAATTGAAAAAAATAAATTATATTACTGATATTTGCCAAGTGAATTAGAATATAAAAATATTCAGAATATTTATATCATATTATAAATTAACATGACATCAAAAAACTATTTCGGAATGGTACTTATATACTATTTATTTCTTCTTTTGTTTTTGTTTTTGTTAGTGCACCAAATTTAAACAATAATGTTATCTAACGTCACTGTCATTCTGTGTTAGAACACCAATGTATGTGATGTTATATTATAGGTTCAATTAAAGGTGGAAATTATATGATTCATTTAGTTGAATATATAATTTAATGTCATTACTATCATCTAAATTGGTAAGCATTACTCGAGTTTAAAAGGTTATGAACTAATAGTGCAATTTACATTTTTTTCCTTTTAGCTTCTTTTTTTGATTTATTATTATCAATAATATATTAAATATCATATTAAAGGAGAATCATTTTTTGAACGATTTTAATCCCACTATAATTCAATTATTTTAATAATATATTATTTTTCGTTTTTCAATATGCAATAAATACCACAAAATCTTTGTCATGTATAAATTTTGTGTTATTAGTTCTCAATTAACTAACATTAACATCAATCTAAAATCAATTGATCTTGACTTGGTGAATCTTGATCTATATGAATCTAAATTTATTATAAATGAATTTCTTTCTATTCATATATTTATAAATTTTATGAGTGTTTGAGTTCATGTATTAGCATTTAATTCTTATGTACCAAAATGCAGTATGAAAAGGTTGCTTATTTATAATATTTCATTATTACAAAAAAATTGAATATAAGAAATTGAGTTTTGATAGTAGAATTATATTCTCTTAAATTTTTATTCTAAATTTTATCTTTTAAAGTTTGTTTGAGACTCATAAAATCTTTCTAATAAATTGATATCAAATATTACTCTTAGGGTCTGTTTGATTGTGAAAATGAAATTTGGGTGGAAATAATATGAATTCTAGAGAATTGAATTACCTAGAAATTGTTTTCCTGGGAATTGTAAATTATTGTGTTTGATTGGTATAATTTTTCACGTGAAAAATGTTGAAGTAAAAGTGTTTTTAAGTGTTCATTTGACTTTGTTTTATATGAAGATTTTCAATTTAAGGGATATTAACTTCTACCATTGTTCCTAGGATTTGTTTCCATTGCCAACAAAAAAAAAGGAAAAAAAAAATCAAAAAATCATCTATATTTTGGTGTTCTTTTGTCTTTATTTACATGAAAATTGTCAATTTCAGGGATGTCCTCTTTTACAATTATTCCTAAAATTAGTTTATATTGCCAACAATTTAAAAAAAAAAAAAAGCAAAAAAAAAAAGTTGGAAATCCAAAAACCACCTACCCCTCGAAAAATAAAAGGTGGAAAATCACGCTTTACGATGTTGTACCTAGAAATTCATAGAAAATCAATTCCCTGAAAAATTTTGTCAATCAAACAAGATAAAAGTGAAAGTTGGAATTCGAATTCCAAGTTTCACGAAAAATTTCGTACAATCAAACGGGGCTTCACAGTACTTATAAAATATTTCAAAATAAAGCTTGATGGTGGAAAATTCGTCATTTTACGCAAGTCAAAGTGGACGGATTCCGTGTGTAGGACCGTACGAGTGGGAAACCAAAAACTCTTCGAAAAGCCAAATTTTCACATCAACTGTTCATTTAAAACGATTATGTTTTTGTATTATTCGCAGGATAACCAATGAATAACCGTTTGCCCTCACCATACACCCTTCTCACGCCATTCGTCACACCCAAAAGGGTTTCTTCTTTCTTTTTCCATAAACTCGCACACATATACATGTGAATATCTACATACAAAGACTCGCAGTACTAGGATTCTTGATGGCAATAGCCCTTAATTAGCGGATATTCTACAACACACTTGTTTTAAGAACTTTGGCTCTAGCCGGCTAGCCCCACTTAATTTCTATTTCTTTTTTTTTTTTTCTGGGCTTTTAATAGCTGGGATTGGGATTTTTAGTACATGCAAATTAGTGGAGAAATGGGCTTTTGCTCAGGGATGGCTGTAGTTTATTTGGTTATACTGAATTTGCTTGAAGTTAATGGTGAAATTCCGACAACCCTTGATGGTCCCTTCAAGCCTGTGACTGTTCCTTTGGATAAAAGTTTCAGGGGAAATGCAATAGATTTGCCAGACACAGATCCTAGGTTGCAAAGGAGTGTTACAGGGCTTCAGCCTGAGCAAATTTCTGTCTCTCTTTCTTCAACTCATGATTCAGTGTGGATTTCTTGGATTACAGGTTAGATAATTACTCGCCTTTTTCTTCTCATTTGGTTTTGATTTAAATAGAATGCAAGAGATACGTAGGATCGGACTTTAACCATCTTATATGAAACCATAATTTCAAGTTTTATTTCAAGAATATACTAAGATTAAGTTGGTTTTATTGAATATTATCATCTTTGTTTTGACGGAATAATTGTTTTAATTTATAGTTTAGCTTGATGAATTTATTCAAGAAACGGCAAACTAAAAATTTGGAGTTGAATTATTTAATTTACAGGGGAATTCCAAATCGGTGACAACATTAAACCATTGGATCCGAAAACTGTTGTGAGTGTCGTACGTTATGGGAAGCTAAGGTTTCCTATGATTCACAAAGCAACTGGCCATTCTCTTGTATACAATCAAATGTATCCTTTTGAAGGTCTTCAGAATTACACTTCCGGAATTGTCCATCATGTTCGTCTTACGGGTATGGTCGAGTTGAGTCTTGTCGTTCTAATATCGGGATTCAATAATAAATCTAACTCTCCACTTTGTTTGCCTCAGTTCTTGTAAAAAAATATCTGGCTTATATGTGCTTTTGTTATAACGATATTGCAGAAATGATTTATTCCTGTTCAACTATGACGTTAGACATCTTATTTATTTATTCAAATTTAGTTTCAATATGTCTTCTCATACGAAAGCATTCATTTTTATTTTATTTTTTTTATCAAAGGTTTCGACGTGCACAATTTTTATTTGCTCTGGTATCGTGTTGAACCATGTCATATAAAAGTTTAGAAAGGGGATTATTTATTTGCCAAAGCATATTCAGACATTAGAGCTTAAAGTTTGCTTCATCTCCTGAAGGGTTAGATCCCAACACATTATACTACTATAGATGTGGAGATCCTTTAATACCATCAATGAGTGATATCTATTCCTTCAAGACAATGCCGGTTTCTGGTCCAAGAAGTTACCCGAGTAGAATAGCTGTGGTAGGGGACCTCGGTCTCACTTACAATTCTTCTTCAACAATCAACCATTTGAAGAGAAACAAGCCCGATCTAGTTCTGATGGTCGGGGACTTGTCCTATGCTAACTTATATCTTACGAATGGGACCAGTTCAGATTGCTATTCTTGCTCGTTTCCAGATACTCCTATACACGAGACCTATCAGCCTCGTTGGGATTATTGGGGAAGGTGAAAATCTAATCCCTTATGTCAGTTTGAAATCTTTTCTTGAGCTAACAATTTAAGTCATTATGAACTGTATGACAGAATTTCATTTTAAGTTTCATAATCTATTTTTTATTTGTATAGTCTTTAATTTGCTTCTTTAGATCTTTACTATCCCAAGCAATCATGATTCACGCTCTCTATCTCTCTCTTCAGATTTATGCAGCCACTGGTTTCTAAAGTTCCGATAATGATGGTACAAGGGAACCATGAAATTGAATTGCAAGCTCAAAATCGGACTTTTGCATCCTACAGTTCTCGATATGCATTTCCATATAAAGAAAGTGGATCTTCTTCTCCTTTCTACTATTCTTTCAATTCCGGGGGCATACATTTTGTAGTGCTCGGTGGATACACTGCATATAGCAAAACAGGTAAACGAGTCTACTTGTTACCATTCACTCTATCTAGCTGTGATACGGTTGGCCTGAACCCATGGCTTCTCCATTGCAGCTGATCAATACAAATGGCTGCAGAAGGATCTGACTCATGTTAACAGAGAAGTTACTCCATGGTTGGTAGCTACATGGCATCCACCCTGGTACAGCAGTTACACAGCACACTATAGAGAAGCTGAATGTATGATGGTAGCAATGGAAGATCTACTGTATCGGTATGGAGTCGACATAGTCTTTAATGGACATGTAAGTTTTCGAGGCCTTTATATTAACAAATAGGTGAATACTGAGGTCACAATTGCTAAAATCTGCAGGTCCATGCCTATGAGAGGTCGAACAGAGTTTATAACTATGCCTTGGATCCTTGTGGTCCTGTATACATTACAGTTGGAGATGGAGGGAATAGAGAGAAGATGTCAATTACACATGCTGATGAGCCAGGTAAATGTCCTGAACCATCCTCCACGCCAGATGAATTTATGGGTGGATTCTGCGCCTACAATTTCACATCTGGTCCAGCAGCTGGTAAGTTTTGTTGGGATCGACAACCTGAATATAGTGCATACAGGGAAAGCAGCTTTGGCCATGGAATTCTAGAGGTACCTGCTCTCTCTCTCTCTCGTTTTATATTAAGACTTAATCCCTACTGTAGAGAGCTGTAAGACACGAAAAGGAAATTGAGAAATGAGCAAAGAGCACACAGATTTTATAGTGATTCACTATAACCAAAAAGAAGAATACAAGTTCTTTAACTCATACACCTCTCTTACAAACACTAGACGACCCTTTAAAAGTCCTTAATATACTATAATTTCATAGTAGTATAACCATCTAGGCTGAAGCATATTCAGTTACTGGAGTTCTCTGCTGTTAGCGTGACTTAAATATTTTCTAAATGATTAACATAGATTAAGGGTGACACGAGTATTTTGTTATGCATTTAACTTGCAGGTTAAAAATGAGACACATGCTCTTTGGAAATGGCATCGGAATCAGGACTTGTACACCAAAGCTGGAGATCAGATTTATTTAGTAAGGCAGCCCAAAAGATGTCCAGTCGAACCAAAGGTAATTAAACTTTGGGGAGTAGAAAAGCCAAAAAATGTATTTTATGGACTATAATGGATTTTCACTAACTGAATCGATCAAATACCATTTCACTTGCATGTAGCTTGACACTTGAAAATTTTGAGTAATCTTAAAGAAAAATCTACATTACTGTTGTCATTCTTTTGTAAGGGAAAAGCTATAGAATTATGAAATAGACGAGTCTGTTGAATTAAATTTTTCAATAGAATGTCAAATACTTCCGATTTTCCGTTCTTTTATTGAAAGCCCTTCAAGTACTTTCCACTTTCTAGTTGGAAGGCATTGCTCGATTGCTTCTAAATTAAACACTCCCGTATATATATATTCGTAGGTTTCATTACTTAACCGTTTAAGAAGTTCATGCCATTTTCTCTTGAATCTCAAGGGTTCCTCCTAGTGGCAAGTTCTGTGTATGAAATCTCAAGGACGTGTGGATCAGAGAAGGAGCAGATGGAATATGAGTTGCAGTTTGGATATGACAATTATATTTGTGAATTTAGTGCAGAAACATATATATTGAATTATGATATAGTGAGAATAACAGAAATTTTGTTGATGCTAAATCACGTGTGTAATTTTTGAACTTCAAATGGAATTTCCAATTCAAAATATACGAACTTTATTTTTTAAATGCATTTGCCCGTGTTTTCTAAGTTTGTGTCAGATATTGAATTGTTGAACCACCTCAAGTAAAAGCTTGAATTGTCGAATCTGTTTAAACTTTGTCTTCAGTAATGAACATTGAGTTTGCAATCATGAGAAGAGAATGAGAATGGTAACCGAGGAGCAAAACCTGAATGACCTGTTCTAGTGAGGTAGATTATATTTTACTGTTGAAGCCTAGGCTTCAAAATGAAGTTAGTTACTATGCTGCTAGGCTCTACATGGTTTGGAATGTAAATGATAAAATGAAGAAACATACAGGGAACAAGATTACTCTTATTAACAGGTCTGGTGAAGCATTAGATTTTGGTGAGTCAGGATCTGTGGATCCTATCTCCGGTGTTATTCCTCCACCTCCATACAAAGGTGCAGTGGTCGTTCCTGGTGGTGGTGGCTGCGTCACACCTGTAGCTGGCGTTGTTCCTGGTACTGATGTCCCCCCTGGTGCGACCGACCCTCCTTCTGTGCTGGAAAATTTCAATATCCAAGTCATTGGAATTTCAGGCATGCTGTTATAAAAAAAACAAAAAAAAAACAAGTGAATTATCTGATAGTACTAGGCTAGAGTAGATAGAATGATGAATAAGATTTTAATCTATTTTTCTTTAATACTGCTTATTACTCAATCCTCACTAACAAACATGCCATAAAATCCCCTGTCCTCAAAAATCTATACATCAGTAAACTCTTGTGCTAAATGTGCAAACAAATTCCCTAGCAGTGCGAGAACGTGAGAATTGTGTGATTTGAAAGGAGGATAAAATAAGTTATATTTTAAGTTAATAGCACATTCTCCATTTTTCTAGTTGGGAGCAAAAGCAACTTTAGGAAAGTAGTAAAGCATAAAGAAAAGAAACCACTATAGTATTATAAAGAAATACAAGAATAAACAAGATTCAAGAACATACCTTGGAGATGATGGATAAACGCAGGATCCATAGCCTGAATACAAAAACCCCATATCATAGTCACAAAAGAAAAAGCACAATTTATTTATTTATTATTCATTTTATTTTATTTTTTTATTTTTTTGGCACGAAACGTGCAGTTACACTGAAATACATAAGCATGTGTGTAGATAGAAATGGAGATGATGTATAGCCGGCTTAATTATAGGTTTTATTGAATTTTTATTCCACTTCTACTTTGATACACTCGTTTTATTAGTATTGCTGGAACAAGAAGATGATGAGGATCATCAAGAGACGCCAAGCTAATTGGGAAATGCAGATGTACGTACCCATTCCTATCTCCAAAAATCTTACGCAAAAAAAAATAAAAATAAATAAATCGATAGAGGGAGAGAGAGGTGGTACGTACTGGGGTCAGTTTTGGCTATGGTGGCAGTGCCAAAAAAGTAACAGGAGGCAGGGTCACTGCCCCTGCGCTGGTAGTAACTGTTATACGCAAATGAAGCATGTGCTTGAATTGTGTTGGGCAAATAGCATAGCCCAGAAGACTGAATGGCTGCACAATCTGCCCCAGCTGCACAGGCAAAGTTTAAACCTGCTAGCATAGCCTGCTCACTTGCGTCACTCCTCACCACACACCAGGTGGCTTCCACCATCGAAAGGGGTGCCCTGTTGGGTATACTGGTGGTGCACAGAAGGAATAGCAGTGCCACCACCACCGTGGACGGTGGTGCTGCCATATCTGGTAACTAGAGAGAGGGTGGTTGGGTGGGGATGGGATGGGATGGGGGCAAGTGGATTCTCTGTACAGTTTAGAAAGTGGAATCGAAATGTGGGGTTATAGCTGTGTTTTCTTTTACTTTCTGGTTCTTTCTTCGTTGTGCTTTCTCTTTAAGGTTTGAACGAATTAATTGAGGAGTTAAATGTTTAAATCATATATGGTAGTTTGGATTGCATGGCGAAGAAATTTAGTGGTGGAATTTTTAGTTTTGCTGATGTGATCATATTTGGCCATTCGACTGTATAAGATTCTATTTGGGAAAGACAGAGGAAAAAACACAAGGACAATTGCCTGCAAAATTAGTAGCCTCAACATGGTCTGAACGGTGAATTAGAACGGCGCTAATCAAGGGTTCGTCTTGTATGACTTTTTAGGAGTAAAAAATTAATTTTAAAATTGAACCTTGTTATATATACATCAAGGCTTATATAAGAAATTTCATAATATCTACATGACACTTTATCATTTATCAATTTAAAACATAGCCAATTTTTCAAATCAATATTTCCTCCACATCATTTTCGGTAACCGCTTACGTACCATTTTTATGTACTAGTAGCAAAAATTTTTAACATTAAGGAGTTATTTTTGAATTTATCTGAATAATTTTTAGAAGTGCTTTACTGGACTAAAAAAATTAAAGACATCCACCCATCACTAGCCATGTAAATAAGTCAAGCCAAGACTTGCAGCTCGTGTATGGCCCGTAAAAAAATGGCTTGGGCCACCCAGCCCTGCTAAAGCTCGAATGAAAAATTTGAGGCTTGGCTCGAGCCTTGTTGAGCCGAGCAGGCCCTTTTTTGTTTTGTTTTAATTCATGAAATTCTTATTTCTTTTTAATAATTTAAATTTGTGCAATTTATACTAATTATAGATTAAAAAGAGTTACAATCGGCTACAATCAATGTAATTGGAGTTAAAATTGTACACGAAATAAAATATTTCTTATACAATTTTTTCCAAATAAGTGAATTTAAAAACTACGTAATTAAGTCAATAAATTAATTTAAAAACTTACATTATCCTATCATTTGATCTGTTGCAATTCTTCGGCCATTATGCTGTAAACTTTTTCTCAAAGACGTAATTTTGTTCATTTCCAGTCCTTCAAGAATATTAGAACCTCCAATATGTCTACTTTTAGTCTTAATTGTTCGTCTAACAAAATCCTATCACCTAAACTACATACAGCTTCCAATGCTACCGTAGACAATGGAGGTGTTAGTAAATCACATGCAATTTTTATATAATTGAATATTGTCTTTCGTTACACATTATGATAGAAGAACAACTTTTCTAACTCTTTTAGTTGTAACACACTATGAATGTTCATGCACATATATCTAACAAATTCAGAGGAAATTTCAAGATCTGTACTACAAACATCTATCCTCTAAATATGGATAAACTAGAACTAAATGAGGGTGCACTAGTATTGGTGTTCAAAAAGTTCTATTTATCATTAGATTTCTTGTAGTATTTCATGAAGATGTACTTTGGGAATTACAACTGCTATGACCTCTTTTTTCAACATAATATTTATACATTTCATATATTAAATATTCTATATATACATGTGATAATTCCTCATTTGTGTAATTTGAAATCTCCTATTTTAATACTTTTTGTGCTAGTTAAATGAACTCGGGGGCCATCACCGATGCTAAAAGAAATAAAGAGAGCAACTCTTCTCAATATTTGTGAAATTTTAACTCTATAGAAATAACTATATCAACAAAAATTGGCATAGTCCTATATTTATTTAATGTTTGTATAATGTAGAAAAAGTATTGTAAAACAAGTGATGATGTAGGATAATAAACACTGCTACAAGCATTTGTGGCATCAAGAAAGGGTTTTAAGAAATTCTTCACACGAAATGCAATAGACTAATTTCATTCTTTCAAATTATGTTCGGGTCCATAAGTATGCTTACTATTATAATATAATGAAATAACTTTATCATATTTTGTAATATAAGATATGTAGAGTTTCATTTATGTGTTACATCAGTAGCAAATGATTTCATTCTAAGCCATGTTCTGTATACAAAATTTCTCGATGGTGACACGGTAACGAAATTTATAGCTTGTCTAATTTTGTCTAGTTGTCTTCTAAATATGTTCTAAACAATCTTTTTAGAATCAAATTGATAATGTGACATACACAAAGCCGATGAAAAAATAAACTTTCAAATGTAGGGTTTAGATTCGTAATAAATTTTTCAATACTGAATTTGTTCATACTAGCATTGTCAAAAGTAAAAGTTCGTACCATTTCTTGCATACCCAATTCTCATATAATCTCTTTAAAATAATGTATATGTTAGTGGCATTATGTAGATATTTCACTAATCTAAATACAGTCATCCTTTTTATATAAAATCCAAAGATGATCAGTCCAAAGGTGACCAACCATGTACATACCTACAGAGCTACCTGATGTGCAGGCAGCTACACGGTTGCTTGAAGTTGTGATGCCTGCTTGTACGCAAGCAAGCAAGCCAGCTACTTGCTTACACGAGCCATTTTTCGCCTTCATGTAAGCTGGCTCGGTGTGACTTGTCAAGTCACACGGGTTGGCTCAGGCTTGGGCTATTGACTAAAGTGAGGCTCTGCCCCAACCTTAGCTCAATTGACATGAGCCATGAGTAGAGTCAAGCCAGCTCAGGCTTTTTCTTATTGAGTCATTGGCTATCCGAGCCGACAGGCCTAATTGACATCCCTACCCACCATAATAATTTTCTAATTTTATACATTTCTTATATTTTCCTCAAACGGATGCATAATTCTTCTGACGATTGTCTTCCTTCTTGACTTGTACTTTTGTAGGGGCAACGTGTCCAATAGATCTTGGCTTATCTCACGTTCACTGAAACTTTTTTTGCGCACATGAACTAATTGTTAGAGCATGTGGTCAATCTCCGATGGTGGAGTGGGCGATTACAAGAACTCCGCAAGTCAAGTTAGTCTACGTTTGAATATATATTTGGGTAAAGGATTTGCTTTAGACATGAGTCACTTAAGTAAAAAGGGGTTCGAATCCAAGAAGCATAGAGAGAAAAATAAGAGAGCAAACTTAAAGTTTTGAGAGTCTAAAGTTTGCATTACCTTCAAATGACACAATGTAATAACTTTTACAGTAAAGGGGATAAGTATCTTTGGATAAAGTGAAATGTACTCCATCGTAACGGCCGAGCCACCTTGTCTTAGGTGTCAATTGGTTAGGTCCTATTCTTAGGTTTACGACCGTATGCAGCCCTATGTTTGACGCATAGAGACTAGACTTGATAGGCTACCTTGATATAGTGATTGTTGCAGTAAGTTGTCACGTCAATTATTTATGGAAGATTTTGGATAGAAGATCCTTGTACCACCTCTAAATCCCTCAACTCTCCACGAGGTTTCGACCCTTAACATGGTTTCGGCCTCGCTATAAGTGTTTGGTCAAATTTGGTACATTGGACAGAAAGATGTGAAGTGAAGGTTTATGTTTGCTTGTTATATGATTGCCACGTGACTAATACTAATCAAACATTTGTTAAACAATATTAGAACTTGATTAATAATTTTAGCCATGCATATTTGACTTTTCTTTACATGTTACCTTTTTATTTTATTTTATTTTTTAAATTATATTTATGCCTGGCAAAACACTACAGATTTCCTAGAATTTTTAAAGTTGAAATTGGGCAATTGACTAAGTGGTCCTAGCGATCAAGTTGAATGAGAGTCTGTTTGAGAGTGATTTTGAGAATTGATTTTTTAACCGTTAGGAAAAAAGTGGAGTCCACCTGTGAAAGAAAAAGTCAAATATGACGGCTGAAATAGTGAAATAACGATCAAAAAATCAATTTTTTGGATAAAAAAATCGGGCCCAAACAGGCCCTGAGACCTTCGCTTGCCTACCATATTAAAGTTGTGTAGTAAATTTGAGATTACTTAAGTTAGATTTTCGCAAATTGGACTTCCAATCAAAATTTTGTAACATCGTCGTGTACATTTAATGCTTGTACTTGTAAAACTAAATTAGTATTTTAAAGTGAAAAGTTGATGTGACGAGTTGAATAGACAAATTTATGCATGAAAATTCATATAAATGATATAAGTAACATACAAACCGTTAGTGGGAGGTTTGCATGATGGTCATAACTCCAGTGGCAGTGTGCATTTCAATAATTGGATTATTGTATTTGGACTATGAACGGTTCCATCATCACGAATAGAGTAACATGCTTGTGTATACTTTTCGAATTAATAAATCTCTCGAGACATATTAACGTCAGATACTCCTACTCTCGTGTTGAGCTAGAGTTCGAAACCAAAACCTCTCCATTGAGATAATTAAGGCGAAATCAAATATAAATATCAGATGGGAGCCAAGTAGGACAGGATTAGAGAGCCTTAGGCCTTTTGGTTAATTGGACTAGGCTGCAATGTAGAACGTATTATGCAAATCAAGGGCCGAGATGGTGTCACTTCAACCCTAGTCCCAATCCCAATCCCTATTTTAGTAGCAGGGTCCATGCCGAACCTAGCCAGCCTTTTGGCCGTCAATCGTAGTCCTGCAGCACCTAGCATTTTTCAAATTAAAATGGATATTAAATCCTTTGAAAAGTCAACCCTTATCATAAATTAGAGTTAATTGTTCCAATGGTCATTGAACTTAGGTCCATATCTTTGATTGGTCATTGAACTTTAAAATGTCGAGTTTTGGTAACTGAATTTAGGTCCATATTTTTTATTAGCCACTAAAATTTAAAATGTCTAGTTTTGGCCACTAAACTTTGAAAAATGTTGAATTTTGATCACTAAACTTAGGTTTATGTTTTCGATTGGTCACTAAAATTTAAAATGTCGAGTTTTGGCCATTGTAAACTCTATATTTTTCAAAGCTCATAGTTATATTAGTGAGTAACATACGGCATATTCTAAAGTTCAGTGGCCAAAATTCAATATTTTAAATTCCAGTGAACAATTTAAGACATGGACCTAAGTTCAGTGAGCAATCGAAGGCATTGACCTAAGTTCATGACCAAAACTTGACATTTTAAATTTCAGTTATCAATCAAATCAAAGATATTGACCTAAGTTCAGTAACCAAAACTCAACATTTTTCAAAATTCAGTGACCAAAACTCGACATTTTAGAGTTCAGTTGTCAAACAGTGATATGAACCTAATCTTAGTAACCATTGAACAATTAACTCCATAAATTATTGAAATATATGTACAAAGAGTAATAGCCTCAAATCGCAGTATCTCTCTCTCTCTCTTCAAGAAATCCTTGCCTCATCACCATGACTCATATCCTTCCTGCCGCAATTCATTTTTTTTTTCTGTGGAATTAAATTCTTTTTCAGCGCAACTTTTATTTAATGTAATTGGTATTATATTGTATATATTGTGAATATGTATGTTTTCAATTCTTCATCTTTACAGGGAATTGATGTTTGTACGCACAAATTAATAGCGTAAATCACTTGTCTCTTTGAATTTTTCATCTGAAATTTGTTTTTCATGTTGAATTCAATGTATTTAGTGTTATGTTCCTGTTTTCCTTAACTGGGTCTAACGTGGAAACCAAAGGGAAAAGGATAGAGAAAGGGCTCAGGCTCGGACCGGTGGAAAAGGCAAGAATAAAGATGACGGTTTGACCCCAGAGCAGCGCCGTGAAAGGTAGTTCCCTTTCTTTCTTTTTAATTTTTACCTTGCTTTCAGAATTGTAATGTTCTTTTTTTCCTTGGATCCTCAATAGATGTAGATCATATTTCTTGTCTAATCGTTAGTAATTTTTGTTGATTTTGCTCAACTTTGAAGTTCTAATGCAAATTAGGATCTGATTTCTTAGTTTGCTTTTCCCCCTTCCAAGATCTTCCCAGATTTGACTTTATTGTTAGTGTTCTTTGCCAAGATTCTATTTTCGATATTAGATCTAATCTTTAAACCTGGATTTTCTTTAAAGTTAGTACATAAATTTCAGTTCTCCTTTTCTTCTCCAAATTTTTATAGGTAATTTTTTTTTAAATCCATTGATTCTTAATAAAAAAGTCACCTTAGTCAAGAAGTGCAGGTACAAGTCTTTTACATGTTTTCAAATTTTCGAACTACATGTATGAAATGTAAATTATGGTCTAACTTTCTAACTACATGTGTTTCAAGATGTAATCTGTGTTATAATTTGGTTCTTTACTTCTTTATAATCATTTATTAAAACCCATATAAATATACGAATTTAGTTAGGTAGTGTCCATATCAGTGGTCTGATTTTGATTGATTCACCTTTGATTATGTCTTTTATGTGTCTGGTTATATAGGGATGGAAAGGCACTTCAAGAAAAGGCTGCAAAGAAAGCAGCACAGGCTGCAGGGGGTGCCGATGCTGGAAGTAAAAGCAACAAGAAATAGGACATTTCTTGTTCATGAGTTTCACAATCGACTTTTCTTGCTTATTCTGAGCTTGTTGGCTTTTTCCCCTTGATTTTATGTTTAATATCTGAAGGATCATCTTAATTACAATGTGAATGTAAAACCATGATGTTTGTCTGTTTTTCATCAATTTAAAAGTATTTAATGATTTTTGTTTGTTTTGTATCACATAGTTTAGATTTGTGAGTTGGCTGATGGTGATAAATAAATTGGATTTGGCTCTCCATGTTTGTTGATCTTTGTGATTCCCACTGCAACCTAACCCTTTTTTTTCCCAAGTAATTTGTCAGGTTAGTGATGACTCTTTCACTCACCAACTTCTTGTGTATTTAGTGGCCGTTTGATACCCTTTATTCTACAAGTACCAAATGGTTTACGTAATTGTTTACCGAATTGACAAGTGGCGGCCCCCTATTGGAGGGCTCCTCCAATAGGGGGCCGCCACGGCTGTTTGACACCCTTTATTCTACCAAATTTATTTTTTACAACAATGTAATGAGCCCACATGTATGCTGTATTCATGTTGACAAGAAAGAGTTGTTTATTAATTTTATGGTATGTATATTTCCAATTTTCCCCTTTGATAAATGCCTGGTTACAAATCGAAATATGGGAGAAAGATTGAAGGGCAAATAAGTAAATTTCATGACATACTGAGGGCAAACACGGTATTTAGTGGTAAATGGGTGGATTTTCAAATTTGTGTCAGATAAGTCAATTGCTTTTTTTGTTGGCCATTAATGCTTTTACTATTACAAAAATTAAATTGAGGGAAAGAAAGGGCGTCAAATAGACGCTTAATAGTATCTTCAATATACTGAATTTGCAATTCTTCCCCAAGGCACATGTGTGTTTAAACTTCTACTTGTTTCAATTCGATAAACCCAAACATAGTTATGTGGGGATCAGCTCTATTTATCCCGCTCTTTCAGTTTGCTTTATCTAGGACCATTTCCATGTATTTGTGCAAGTTCTGACTGCAATTTTACAAATTGATAGAGAGATTGAGAACATTAATGATACAACATTAATGCTTATTTTAACTTAAACGAAGCTTATCCCATCTAAGTAGGCTGAATTTTTTTCAAAGTGTTTCCTGCAAATGTAGAATATATTAAAGAAATTCAACAAGTCTTCTGTCGTGCAGGATGTTGTATTAAACCTAAATGCTTCCTAAGCCTCATTCCAGAATATTTTTAAAGCATGATTGAAAACTGAATTACTTGGACTCTACTACATCAGCAAGCAGGATAGATAAATCGACAATCTTGAAATTTTCTCTCTTTTTTAACTTTCATTACCCTCTTGTCTCCATCTCGATTCCACTAATCAGTATCGTGTTGTGTATCAAATGTATCTTCTGCTACAGGTTTTGTTAAACTTAAACAACCAAAACTGAAGTATTTAAACTCTGGATGGATCTGCATGCAAGATCTCTCGAGTCTTGGAGAAAAAATCATGCTAGTTTGAAATTAATTTCTGGGGATGAACTGCATTTTAGAGTTGTAAAGTCACATGTTGGGAAGTTGCCTTTTCTCTGGCTATCTTAAAGGAATGGTTTTAAGTTTCACCAAGGTCATTATTTTTGCGGCCCTTGTTACGAGATTAATATCCTACACAAGGTCAAGAGATAGTCATTGCATTTAAATATGACAAATTTGGATTTACGTTGCATTTGGGGCTTGATAAGTTAATGGAATATTATAATGAATTGGGAATTCTACACGATTTAAGAAGAGACGTGAGTGAAGTATGAATAATACTATTCATCACTATTTTTTACTCATAAATAGTGATGAGACATTTAGGTGACTTTAATTGATTTGTTGTTATAATTGACATCTTAAGGTAGGATATAAGATAACAAATTCATTGATGCTACATCATCGATGATTGGTAAGTACCGCTTATGAATAGCGATACTTCTAAGATATATGTATTCTCTGATGTATTGTCTATTGACATACCCAATAGAAGTATGGTGCGTTTCCACTTAAACAATTGGGTGTATCCTTTCCGTTTCAATTCAAAGGCGGAAGTAACAAGGAGTTCATTGTTAGTATATAATTGATATATGTGATCCATGTCATTGCTTATGGGGAAAAGATCTAGCAAGGGTAACTACAGAAGTAAATTTTTTCCCGGGATGTCAAATCTAATACTCTCGGATGTTCTATTTGAAGACAATATAGTAGATAATCCAAAACAGGGGCGGACCCACATGGGGTCATGTGGGGTCAGATGACCCACAAAATTTTGGGTTTTTTTTTTTTTTTTTTCAAAAAATGGTTATTTTAACTCGTTTTCGACCCACTTTAATACATACCAAATGAAAACGAAATATTGCATTCTTAATATCATTTCTAAGCATACATGGCCTAGTTTTTCGCTTCTTAATGGCGTGCAAAATGATCGACCATAGCAAAAGATACGATGTATTAAACTTTTGACCCCACAACCCAAAATGATTGGGTCCGCCCCTGATCCAAAAGCATGATGGATTGACATGAGCACTACATGTCAAAGTTTGGTGATATAGAGATGTTTTCTTCTTATATACCTATAAGAGGGCGTATATTCCCCATTTTCTTTGAACACAATGTAAGTGCCCATTAATGGTTGTGGAATACAAGTTGGAATTGCATTTGTTGAGTTCTTAAAAGTTCTTTGAATTTCTAGTAGTGTTCATCGGTTGGTCATGTTGGTTAGGAGTACTCATCAATTCGCGGTATTGATATATAATTAAAAGAACTCACAGAAGAGTAGATGTTAACATTGTGATAGCAAGTGTATATGACTTGAAAAGTAAGAAGTTGATATCTCTAACTCGAAGGTTAGAAGGAAAAGTTGTTTTCTCTAACTTGTTTGTTAGAAGGAATCATATTTTCTTCTATAAAGGATTAGAATTGAAAAAGAAGCAACCGTTAAAATCCATTGTCATTTAGTTAATCTTCAAGGATAAAGTGTGAAACTAAATTAGGAAGTTAAGACATCATATCGATTAATAAGGCTGGTTCGTTAAAAAGAGAATGGTTGTATCATATTCTTTTCTATTGATAATGAGGTGGATTACAATGTCTCGTGTATATGATAGTAACTTCATAATGAATTGAGTGACTCCGGCAATATCATCTTTGACGAAGTAGCCTTGCAAGGGATTAATTGAGTTTTTACATAAAAGGGATAGTACTAAAGGAAGCAAACTTAAACTATCTATGGAACCACACCCCAACAGTTGAAACATCAAGATCTTGAGTTCAATGAACAAATTACATTATATGAGTGATTGCAATCACAATTCATATTTTGTCCCCTAGAAAAAAGTGCTTAGTACACAAGCTTCTTAGCTTTTAATTTATTTATATGGTCATGTCTATAGAATACTTCAGTTATGCGATGATTCTTGATAAGTCGACTTATGTGAAAGTTAGGAATGATGCCATCTTTAATATACGACTTGGCTAGCTAAAATTTTCATGAAAATCCAAATAAATGACACATGGACTATTTACGTGTCGATTGAGAATACTTAAGGACATGCAAATATGTGATGAAATGTTTCAGGTTATCACTAGGTGGAAGTTCAATTCCAAAATACACATTCAGTGATGCATAAGCTTGGTGAAGTCCTTCGGAGAGATTTTTTCAGAACTCCATTTTTTTTTAAATGGTTGAGGATTATTGGAAACTTTTCAAATAATGCAGTTTTCGCTCAATAGGCGTCCGCCCCATGCTTGTGCATTGGTCCCCTAACTCCAGCATCTGTTCATATTTTGTCCAATTTTCTGGTGTCTTTTCATCTCAATTTGGTTATTTAATTTACAGTGCATAGGATCATAAATCATGGGAAAGGTTGTTTAAATCTATAAATTAGAATGTTTCTTATTTATTTAACATGTAAATATATGGAACGATAGAATTTTCCTTCATGTTCTTCCTTGAAACTATATTTTCTTCATAACTTGCATTCATCTCTTGCAAAGTTTTGTTGGTGTTTTGTAATTCAAAATTACATAACACTTCATCTCTCCTTTGTGTTCGGGATTATCTTCATATATATAGACACACACATGCACATCATCTTAAGGAAAGTGCAAATGTGTGTTGGAATCCCCGAGGGAGTTATTATATTCAAATTTTTGCGAAACATTTTAATCGACGGGTTTGGTTTAATCCTCATATAGGAATTTGTTGCGGTTTCTCCAACTTGTTTCTTTGACCTAAGAGTTCAACGAGATTTTTTCCAACTTTGTCAACTTGCTCCAGCCAATATGAATAGACCACCACCATTTACAATTTTTATCTTCTTTTAACTACACATTACTTGAAATCGCCAAAAATTTTACCAAGCAAGCACGTTTAGAGGCGACTACATACATTTTATTTTATCAAAAGTAACTTATTAGGAGCAATCTAACTGATGTATTTCAAACTTTGTAATATTTTTGAATTTGGTGCATTGAATTCGATGAATATTATATAAATTTAGAGAAGTGATAGTTGTTGGTAATGAAGGCGTGCCAAATGATGCACTGTTTTCTAGTCCAAAGTTGATGTGCCATTCACGACACTTACCAAACACGCCACATTTTTTTTTCTAGTCCAATATTTATATTTGGTTGAACTTGACAAAATTAAGAAAGAAAGAAATAACCTTATGAAAAGATATGCAAAGTACCCTGGCGACATGTTTGGCATAATGTATATCCATTTTTTAGTCCAATCGTACTCGAAATATTCTTAATTTTGAAAATGATCAAATTGTAATTGCTTCATCCAATTTTCGTGTATTAAGTTTCAATATGATATAGATAGGAGTGGAGCCAACATGGAAGGCCACATGCTCTGCCAGAATATTTTTCCCCTTTATATTGGGAGTCGTCCGTACTCACATGGATCCGACCGTGCTAATCTGGAGTCCTGGATCCGCCAGTAGATATGAAGCTCAAAATTTCAAACAACCAACTCAATACGTATAAAGCTCAAGCAAAAAGTGAATTTCGAAATTGATATTCTCAAACGAGTTATTGTGGCACATGTAAATGATAACAATTCCATGTTGTTTAAATATGAAAAAAATATAATCAAAACATAAAGATTTGGATTATTAGTCTGAATAATGTTGGCCTTTAACATGAAATGCCTAGTCTCAAAAGATCAATTTCTTATTTAGTCATCTTCAGTTCAATCGAAGATGGCATATTAATTAAATATGTGTCATTC